GATTAAGGTCTTGAAGCATAGAGAATACCACCTGCTTACGTTCTCCAGACTGCAACTATTAAGAGCAGTAGCCGCCTTAGCAGGAGATAAGTCTGGGGGCAGCAAGCCATTTAAGACTTCTCTGTCAGAAAGTGCAAACCAGATAGCTCCAAAAATCAGATTGAGGGTGTTGCCTTCCCACCCAAGCTTCCCCTTCAGGTGGCCTCAAGGTCGCCACCTTTGAGAAAGAGGCATGAGCAGAGCACAGAACGCCAGTCTAGACCAGATCTTTGGCTGTGGGGCCTTGATGGGATTCTATTGGCAAAAACCCCACAATCCTGGGGACCCCCCAAAACTGCCCCAGGAGTAAGGAGGCTGCAAAAGCTGTGCTGTCCCCAAGAAGGCCGCCCTCTGCAGTCCCACCTTGGATGGGGCCATGGAGGTCAATGGATGGGAGTTCCTCCCAGAGAGCAGGACTGGGCTGTCAGGGAGCTCAAGGACCTCACTGGCCCGCCAGGGGCGTCTTCACTGGCCCTGTGCAGTGGGCTTTGATCACCGCTTGGAGCTGTGCTTCCTGTTCTCCCCTCTTATGACTTTCCCAGGGCTGTGTGCCTGTTTCTACTTCACTACTGTCTATGGGCTGTGTTGGGAGAAGGTAACTTGTCTTGAGTTTATAGGTCTTTAGACCACAAGAAACCACCCAGAGCTGACGGAGAAGACCACAAATCCCCCAAAGGTGATTTTAGCTTTAGCTTCATGCCGTAACTGGATGGGGTTGGGGTTGTCTACCTTGGGGAGAGAAGGAGTGGGCTCTTTGTGAGGCAAGAAAGGTGACCAAAGGGGTGAGCTATGGCAGAGACCAGGAGCTGTCCCTTAAACCTATTCTTTCCGTTTCTCAGAAACAGAACTCCTGAATTTCAGTTAGGCATATGACTTCTTGGAATAAAAACTACCTTTCCCAGACTCCCTTGCAGTAGGTATGGCCCTGTGACTAAGGTCTGATCAATGGGATTTCAACAGTCATATGACACACTCTAACAGAAGGAGTCTTGCTTTTCTCCCCCCTTTCCTCCATCCTGCTAGCTGGAATGAGATCGTGGCTGGAGCCGCCATCATGGACCTTGACGTAGAAGTTGCATACTGGGGATGGCAGAGCAACACGTCAGAAGTAACCTGGGGCCTTGGGGACCATGGAGACACCCTAGCAGCCCTGCATGATAGAGGGTAAAGAAACTTCTACTTTGTGTAAGCTATTGTTGTCAGGACAGCTGAATCTGATTCTGATCTCGAGTTTGCCACACAAGGTCAAGACAGAGACAGGTACTGTGATGGTCATGCTCCTGACCTGTGGGAAGGTAGAGATGGGCAGAGAGCACTCTCCTCTGAGAGAGTTTACTCCACTAAAAAAAAAAAAAAAAAGAAAAGAAAGCAAACAAAATAAGCAAACACTTCCAGAAATCAAGACAATTATTAGAATAAAAATGTCAACACATCATAATAGTGTTGCATAGCTTGTTTTTACATTGATCAAATTATTTTTCAGTACAGTCACTGACAGGTCAGAATGAAAAACATTCCAGATTTACAGAAAAAACATTGATCAATTAGGATACTTTTCAAAACTACATAACACAAATCCTTTTGTTGCTCCAAACAGAACATGAGTTTTAAAGATGGCGACAGTCCGGCCATCAGACTCCCACGTGTTCGGTTCCTCAGGATGAGGTCAGCCTTCGCCATCTTTACTGAGTAGGTTCTCAGCTTAGGATGGCAAGAACCAGAGGGTGGCAATCCTTGTCTTTGCATTCAGCAGTGCCAAGGTTTGAGGGACAGTCTCTTAGGGACAAGTCACAGAAATGTGATCTATGTATCTTTTCAGTAGCCATACAGCTTTGATTTGGGATTTTGATTCTCTGGAATACCGACTCCCGGAATGGTAAAACACTAATTGAGAGAAGCAAAGAACTCATCTAGTCCAGCCCAACCTTTCCCTTTTACATATAAGGAAACTGAGGGCCCAGGGCGACACACCTTGCCTAAGTCTTGGTCTACACCCAAGTCCTGCCTCTTACGGATCTTTCCTCATTGATGCTGCCTCTCTGTTGCTTCTGGAGGATGAAGAGGCCTGTTGCTTGCACTCAAATGATAATATCTGAGGAACAGAAAAATGTCAAGTAGCAACATAGCAGCAACAGTGTCTACACAAATCTAAAAGCATATTTAAGTATAAATTACTGTGGTAGGAATTAAAGACCAGCACAAGTTTGTGATCCAACCCCTCCCTCATCCCACTCCCCCCCCCAACCAAATTGAGTTGACTCTTTTTTCTGGAAAGTCCAAACACCAAGTGCAGGTTCTATTGAGTGACACCAGGCAGGATCTCCATCTTGATTAAGCCAGCACATTGATGTGTCTAATTAGATCTCCAGAGAGTGTCAGAACGCAGGATGTAAACATCTCTCCGTTTAATTCCAGCCAAATTTCCCAGGCAAAATATTTATCCTGATTTTGATGTTCTTCACTTAGGACTAAAAGGCTTAAGTATAATTGCTTAAACGTATAAGGTGGTGGAGCAGGAATCCTGAGCTACAGAATTTAATTGGCAGTAGCTATAGTATTTACTTGCATATTTTTCCCCATTAGATAATTCTCATCTTGTTCTTCCCCAGTATTTCATGGATTTTGTTCCTGGTAACATCAGCTGGGTCTGAACTGCTGGCCTGCACAGCCTGAACTGCTGGTCTGCAGAAAAAGGCTGGTTGCAACCTTTGGTAAGCTTTTTAGAAATTTATGTAACAATAATGGCAGCATTTCTGCGACCATATTAAACAATTTATTTAAAAAAAAAAACAATCAAACACAAATCTCCAAACACATTTAGACTTCTCAAGCTTTTGCAGACAGGGTGATGAAGCATTTTTATCAAATGGCAATGATCTGCTACGTATCCTGATTGCCTTTAAATTCACCTCACCTTTCCCATCTTCCCCTGTTTTGGTGCTTTGCTGATAGAATTTTTCTGAGTCCAGATTGAACAAAGGTACTGGCATGATATTCCTTTTTGCTTCATGGTTCTCTCTAGAAGAAAAGCAATTTTATCTTATAAAAACTCGTATGATTCTACTTCTGTTTCGTGGGTTTTTGGGCTAATCACTGATAAGTTAACTTTTCCACGTAACTCATCCACAGCAGTGTTGGATTCCAGCTGATGAAAATTCACAGTGATAGCACGATTTTATTCAATCCTCATATTTAGCCTAAAGTCCTCCGTATTATTTTTCCTACTGTATGGATGACGAAATAGAGGTAGTGTTCTTAGTGACTAGGCCTAGAGCTAGTTATGGGACCAGGAACCAAATCTTCTACTGCTTGGCTCCAAACTTCCATGCTTCATTTTGCTTGCCTCACACTACGTCCAGGATGGGGCATAGGTGGTCTGTTTCACAGTATGGGGACACAGCACTGTGTAACACCTCCCTCCCACCCCTGCCATTTCAGCAGTAAAATATTGGTGGGGAAAAGATGGGAAGTATGCAAGTAAATGTGCTAGATCTGGAGATAAACGACCTTTAGAAACCTGGCCCCCATCATATAGGTCTTTATCCCTCTTGTAACCAGGAAACTACTCAATTGGTCCCGAGTTTGCTAAACATCAAAATGGCTTCACTTCTGTGTACCATAATATAAAAGCCTCCTTTTTCTATAAATCCCTTTAAGACACTGGCTTAGCTTCCTCTTCTGGATACATAAAAACTGCTATTTAAAAATACCACATTAAAATTTTTATGTAATTTATTTTCCTTAAATAATAATTTGCCACGATTCTGCCATAAATTTTTAAAAAATTTAACACAGTATTAACAAAGGCAGAATTCTTTAGGACAATCAAAATCATGGTGTACTTAGAATAAATTAACATCAAATTGTGTTTATATCCAGATAGTCTGATCCTCTCCTTTGAAATGAAATGGAGACCATTGTAACTGAGGGTGAATGCACACATTTGTTCTTCTATACAGAGACTCATTCTTTATATAAACTCAACTGTAATTTGAATCAAGTTAGTAATCCTGAGAAACACTCAACCATGGGTGCGCGCACGCGCACACACACAAACACACACACACACACACACATCCACGGACAAACCCCCAGAAGCTGGGTTTCCCATGGTTCAATGACTAGAAGATCTTTCCTCAGAAGGGCCAAAGATTCTAAATATGTAGATGAAATCCCATCTCCCCTCAGGAAAAGCATAATGTTTCAAGTGTAATAGCTTGAAGTAGCAGCAATCCATGTCGTAGATTCAGTAGTCGATGATTCCAGTCTTGGGTTCTGAACGTACAGCAAGAGACGAGCAGAGGCAAGAAGCACTCGCTCCTGAAACTAACCCACGAGATGACAAGACACCACCTCCTTAGGAGTCCTTGTTCTCCGAGTCTCAACTGAGAACTCCCCCGAACCTACGTTACTCACCCGGTTCAGGCACTGCGTGTGAACCTGAGGAGGGTCACTCACGCAGGGAGGAAGCGGGCATCGTGGACACGATTCTCAGACACACAAATATCGGAAGGGGCGGGGAGATAAGACAAAGGGAGGGAGGGCAGAAAAAGGTCCTGCTCGTCCTTCAGCCTGAAATGCCAGCACCCTGCCTTTCAGTACATTCACAGGGTCTCCTTAGCATTGGGGCGGGGGTGAACGCTAACTGTTCGAGCTCCGCCTAGAAGCACGGAAAGCTCAGACCTTAGCATCCTACACACACACACACACACAAAACATCCCAGCAACTCGAAATAGCCACACCATCTTGTTTCTGGAAGGTCAACAGCACTGCTAGCGTCCCCTCTCGATTGCCCAAGGGTGGTTTACAGGAACGCGGTAATGTCTGGGGAGGAACGCATTCAGACAGGCCCCAAACTGAGATCTCCGTTGGCTTGTTTCTCTCTGGAGGAACAACGGGCCTAAGCAACGCTATGACTGCATGCGTATGTACACAGGTCCTATGTACACGATAGCTTTTCTACAGAAATTTAAAGTGCCTGGGTTCAAATGTGCTCATTCCTTTCCCACAGCCTACAGATCCCTCTTGGTGCTTCCAGAGAGAAGAAGGTCTGTCCTTAAGGAGGATGCGCTTGGGAGAGAGGAATGAACATTTCACAGTTGTCTTAACTGGGATCCAGCATTTGGACTAAGCCTTCTTCATAAACACGAAGAATCGCTTCACACACGAACTTGTACTGGCTCTGGAAGAGAAAAGAAAGCCGTCATGCCCACCAGCAGCCCCAGAAACGCGGCCTCCGCCACATACGCGGTTCTTCTTCCCCGTCATTCGTAAGCACCCTCTGAGCTCCAGCTCTGGGCTGGGCCGGACCCTGCTACATGCCAGAGAAACAGGGGAGAAGACACACCTGTGAACCCACTATTCCTATGTGATGGGGGGGGGGCTGCTCCCGGAGAGGGATGGGCAAAGTGTCACGGACACAGAGCAGAGGGAAGAGCCGGCAGTCTGGAGGTGCCAGGGAAGAGGCGAAGATCACTGCAGGGTGGCCATGCCAGGGTACCAGTGTGGACGCCCCAAGGACAATGGTGCGTTCTGAGAAGTGTCGTCAGGCCTCATGGAACGCTCGGGTGTGGAAGGAGAGGCTGCACAGGTGGGCCCCAGACCTGGTCACACTGGGCCTTGTGCTGGGGGAAGGAGTCTGGATTCTGTCTTAGAAAGCAGAGCCACTGAAAGCTGCTCTGCGGGATATGGTTCTTTATATTAAAACCCCCTAAGAAACTTACTGTATTGAAATGTACAGAGCAAAAGAAAGCATTTAGACTGAGCCCCACCAGCTAGGAACATCTACGAAAATGATGTATTTTAAAAAATTTTAATGAGGTCCTCTATACCGCAAAAGAGGGCCGAGAACAGCCTTAGTAACCTGATTTTTTTCTCTTAACCAGATTTCCTGGGTACACATGAATATAAAACAAGAGCTCACAAACATTAGAGAAATCTTATGAACTTTGTCCATGAGCCTGTGAGGATACAGAGCTGGCTGCGACATGGAACTCCAACCCCTTTCTTGGCTAACTCCTCCTTATCCATCCAGGGATTTTGCCTTAGAGGCCACTCCTCCAGAAAGCCTTCCTTGACTTTCCAAAGTTGGCTTTCGATACTCTTCCACAAAGTTCTTCGACTCCCCCTGGACTTCTCCCTATTGCTGCTGCGATTTATAATCAACTAATCCAGTTCTTCTACTCATACGAGCTTGAGTCTCTCCTGTTTGTGCAATTATCTGTTGAATGGATGAATGAATGAATGAATGAATGTAGAATGGTCCCCACTTTGCAGATGGGGAAACTGAGGCTCGGAGAGAGGTAAAGGGACTAGTTAAAGGTGACCCCATATGTAGGGGAGTCTGACTCATGGTCTTTCCACCACACCCCACTGCCTCTTGTCATTCTGGGGGAAAACTACAAGATTTCGTTGAGGACACTTGCAGTGCCAAGTAACCAGGCACGAGCTACGTAGGAGAGAGCCCAAGATGGGAGACAGCAGGGCCATGTGAAGTGTCCACTGAGCCAAAAGGCTCACCTAGGAGCAGCGCAGGTGGGGTGAAACTCGCGGGTGACCTTGCTTACCTCTGATGGACAAAGGATGGGCCTGTGGTTTGACAATGCAGAATGCACCCAGGGTGGCTGCCTGGCTGAGTGGCTGGCAGAAAACAAACCACGGAGGCAGCAGAAGTGGAGGGCAGTGAAAGGCAGAGGTCAGATGGGGCAGGCTTTGGAGTGGCTTGGCCCCTGACAAACTCTGTGACCGTGGGCAGGTGACTCAGTTCCCTCAAGCCTCGGTCTCTTGACCTGCAAAGCCCTTCTCACAGGCCCAGTCCAAGGCGAGTGCTCAGGAAGTGTCGGCCACTGTTACTATTTTTATTATGGGATTTCTACTCACTGACGTCTGCACCATCATGGCACGCTGGTCTCGCATTTTCCGGACAATATCCAGTGGGTAAACGGGCAGGTTTCTCTCAATTAGGCACATGGCTGTTTCCATGGTGACCAACACGCCGGTTCGACCTATTCCAGCACTGGGGGGAGAGGAGCAGAGTCTGGGGATTTGCTCAGGCAGCATTTCTGCGCAGCCCGGCTCAAGTCCTCACCAGCACCCACGTTGACTCAGACAGCGCTTGCCTCCCCTGACCTTCAAGAACACAAAACACACACTCTGAGTGCGTGTTTCAAGCAGGCTGAAAAAAGCCTCTCGTACATTCTAAGGCCTCATACAGTCTAAGACAATCTTGTATTCTAAAAACCAAAGGAAAGAAATCCACCTTTAAATGCAAACTCCACCCCCGTCCTATTCACATCTCTTGCGAAGGTCAGTCGACTCAAGGACAGAGGGAAAGATGAGGGAGGGACATGCTTCTTCAGTTCTGTGCTGCATTCAGAAGTTTATGCTCCATAAAATACCAAATCCTTCAAATAGTGAGGAAATAAAGTAAACAGAGCTCTGTAAAAGCATATATAGTCTTGGGGGATTTAGGGGTGGTTGATGTCTGCCAACTTTCTCCAGGCCTTTCCAAGGAGTATTAAAAAAAAAAACACCACCAACAAGCCACCATACCTGCAGTGAACTAACACAGGTTCACCGTCCACTCTCAGGGACCTCACATGGTTTACAAATTCCAGAAAGTCTGAGGAGTCATCGGGCACGCCATGGTCAGGCCACGCGACGTACTGGAGATGCGTCACAGTGTGCTCTTCTCTGGTCTGCGGAAGATGCAGAGTGGCCTTGGTGAGCCAATCCTGACGGTGGGCAGGAGGACCCCGGCCCCCCTCCAGCCAGGGTGTTTGTCTCCTGATGCTCTTTCTCCCACCATGCACAGCCCTGCTGTGGCCCCTGCCCACTCCCGCCCACCCTCCTCACCTACTCTCTCCCTAGACACCCATTCTCTAGGGCTCAGCTCAGGTCACCCTCCTCCACTACGTCTGCCCACAGCAGATTTCTTCTCATTCACTCCTATAGGACTTGCCATTAGGGCCACACACGTTGGTTTTTTTTCCTTAAATGGGGCAAAATATACACAACATGAAGTTTATCATTTTAATCATTATAAAGTGTACAGTTCAGGTTCAGTGGCATTAAGTGCATTCACAATGTTGTACAACCATCACCACTATCTATTTGTAGAACTTTTTCATCTTCCCAAACTGAAACTCTGTACCCATTAAACACTAACTCTTCATTCCCTTCTCTACTCAGCCCCTGGCAGCCACCATTCTCCTTTCTGTCTAGGAATCTGACTGCTCCAGGTACTTCATATATGTGGAATCACAATGGTTGGCCTTTTGTGACTGGCTTAATTCACTTAGTGTAATGTATTCAAGGTTCCTCCATGTTGTAGCATGTGTCAGAATTTCCTTCCTTTTTAAGGCTGAATAATATTCCATTGTATGGATACACCACATTTTGTTTATCCATTTATCTGTCAGTGGACACGGGCTGTTTCCACCTGTTGCCTATTGTGAATAATGCTGCTGTGAACATAGTTGTTGGCTCTTTTACTGAAATGCTCACCAGGTGAAAAAGTAGAACAGACCTGGAAAGAACAGCCCTACCTGGGACCACAGTGGAGGCTGATTTAGGATCCACCTGCCTCTGAACTGTGCCCTCCCCTGGACCACTCACCGCAGGGGCACTGCTCACCTCGGTGTTCGTGACCAGCATTTCCCGGAACACATAAGCGATGGTGCAGTCCTCTGACTGACACCGGATGTGAAAGCTGCCGTGTTCCATGACGTCGGGAGGATCAGGCCAGTACTGGTGACATTTGGTCTGCAAGGGAACCATCATGTGTGAGTTAACCTCTGCTGTGGGGTGGGGCACATGAGCAGTTAACTGGACAGACGGGGTGGGCGTTCAGCCAGAGCCCTCTCTCTCACACCAGGTACTCTGAGAGCCGCTGGGAGGAAAGAAACTCAGGCGAGGCCCATCTGCTCTGCGTCTGTTCTCTGAGGAGGGCAGAGGAAACTTTTTCCTTGTCTGGAAAGTGGGGTGGGGGCCGGCCCGTTAGGGACAAGGCCACAGTTCTCAAACTAGCCTGGGGCCAGAGCCTGGAGGATGAGTATAGAGACTTTTCTTCATCACCTGGGTAACAGCTGGAAAAACAGGAGAGGCCTCAGCCACGGGGCCTTGACTTAGGAGCGACCTCTTCACCTCCACTCAAGCCCACGTCAGTCCCTCAGGCCCCTTCTCTGCTCTCAACACCCCACTTCTACCTCACCCCTTCTTCACCATCCCCCCCGCCCCCCCCACCTCTTGAGGTAGAAGGTCTCAGGCACAGTGGTTAAGAGCACACATTTGGGAGTCTGCCGGAATCATTTTCTCCCCTACCTATGAGCCATAAGACTTTGAACCTCTTTCTTAACTTCTCTGATTTTCACATTCTTCACCTGAAAGATGCAGACAGCACCTGCTTCACAGATGGTGACAGAGGCTGGAGACATTGGTGTGCAGTGCTGTGCTCACTGTGGGGGGCGGGGGGTCAGGTCAATGGTGGCTGTTAACTACCGTTGTTGCCATGGGCCCCACATCAACTTGAAAAAGGATGACCAGAGATTCCACAAAAATCCAGATGAAAGAAATCCCCAAACTGAGACGAACATCCCTTTGCACTTTAGCAGCATCCTCCTGACCCTCAAATGTTCCACGTACGACTCTTACGGAGCTGATACGCCCCAGGGAGCAGACCGGAAAGAGGAAACCCAGCTCAGCGGGATTCACCGGCCCGCCCAAGGTCTCAGGGCTGCTGTGGCTTCCCCATGGCCGACTGATCCCACCACCTCTCTTCATTTTCTATTCCCCCTTCCAAATCCTGAAGCTTGTGCCACTGCCTTCTAACTCCTGCCTCTGGCTTAGAAGCAAAATTCAGGGTCCAGCTGTCCATCCCATCATAGCTCCGTCAGTCAAATTCGGACTCACTCAAAAGATTTTTTTTCACCAAGCCTACAGTTGTATCAACTTATGTAAAAATTACATTTGTTTACAGCTGAAAGCGGGTACAAACCTATGGATGCACATAATTTGTCTGGAAACAGCTTTTCTACTCTTATTTTCAAATGTCACAGTGAATATTCGAAATTAAAACACGCTGCTATAAAGGTGGAGTTAAGAATCTACTTGTGAGCCTTAAACCTGGGTATGTCGGTTAGGAGCCATTTCCCGACTTCGCTTAGACGAAGGGGCTGCTGTCCGTGGAAACTGAGGCAGAGCTGACACGCACCGCCGACACCTGCGTCCTCCCCACCTGTGCAGGGGGTGCAGATCTCTGCCGCAGGCTCCCGAGGGGCCTGCCCACAGGACAGCTGAGGGAAGAGATTCTCCAAAGTGACCAGCCCGTGCAAGGCCGAGCTACAAATATCTATATTTCCAGAGACTCCCAGTGAATCTGACCAGAACGGGACTCTCTTTACTCCTTGATGGAATGTAGATCTGGGGTCTATTTGGATCTGAAAGCACCGGGGGTGTGGTGGGAAGAGCAAGAACTTTGTGGCAATCCTGAGTTTCAAGCCTGGTTAACAGGTTCCACTAACCGACTGTGTGCTCCTGGGCATGACTGAACTTCTCTGAGCCTCAGTTTCTACATTAACGCTGCTGCCGTGGGGAGCGACCGTGCTGAAGCCTGCTATCTTGTGAACAGTATACGCTAAGCAGGATGTGCTGCCTTTGTTTTTTTGGTGAGGCAGATGGGCCCTGAGCTAACACTTGTTGCCAATCTTCCTCTTTTTGCTTGAGGAAGAGTGTCCCTGAGCCAACATCTGTGCCCATCTTCCTCTATTTTGTATGTGGGTCACTGCCACAGCATGGCTTGATGAGTGGTGTCGGTCTGTGCTCAGGATCCAAACCCACAAACCCAGGCCACCAAAGTGGAGCATGTGAACTTAACCACTGTGCCACCGGGCCAGCCCCAGCTGCTTTTTATGGTCATTATTTTATCTTGGCCTCAAAAGAGCCCTATGACTTAGGTACTATTATTGGCTCTATTTTGCATATGAGTAAACTGAGGCTCAGAGAGTGAATCAACTGGTGTCGGATCACACATATAAGAAGCAGGGCATACACAGACATAAAAAATAAGTTTTTCCCCCAAAAGAAACATCCTTGATGGAAGGTGAGGGAGATTGACCTTTTCAACGGAAAAGCTGTACCTCTATAGTTCTACTTCCTGTACAAGGAAACCCAGGAACCTGAAGGAAGAACATAAGGAAACACACTTTGAGCAGGAATGACACAAGGGAGAAATCAGAGCGAGCCTGCAGGGAGAGTGGTTCACAGACACAGAGCCATACGAGGCTCTGGAGGAGGCCCTCTGCCCTAGCAGGCCCGAGCGCAGGGCAGAGCGGGGATGGGTGACTGGGCCAGCCACACGTCTCCAGGGAGCCCCACCCAACTAAATGCACAGTATGAGAGAAAACACACAGACGTGTGGAAAATGTCGTTTCTTGGAAAAAGTAAGGGAAGAAGCTGCCGCCTGGAGTGACTGCCTCCTAATCAGGATGAACCAGTGGGTGGAGGCGGGGACCAGATAAGGGACCTCAGGATAAAGGGCTCCTGAGAGTTTGTCACAGGAGAGGGAGGAAACACGAAGCCTGGATTTTAGAAGAACAGGTTTCTAACAATTGGTAAACAAGAGAGGCAAAAGTTCCCAGGGCCAGAGGTTGAGAAGGGAATGCTGTGACTCATGGGAGATGGGAATCTCTAATGCAGGAACCCGATGGAACCAGCCGGAAGGGGTCCAGTTAGGAAGAAAGGGCTGGGAAACAAAGAACCCCACGGGGTCATCTGGAGACCTCAGAGGAGCTCAGGTTCAGCGGGGCACCAACAAAGGGGGGTGGGGGGGGCACTGAATCAGCACAGTGCAGGAGGGGAGCAGCCGAGGAAGCCAAGCCTCTTGGATGGAAGAAAGGGCCTTTTCTCCTGAGTTGGAACAAGGATGAGGAAAAGAAGGATCATCTGTCACCAACCATGCCTGCTACAGCTCTCTTTTCTCTACGGATAAGAATGATCTTACTGCTGGGAAGGGTAGAGCCAACTTTAAAGGGGAAAGAGAAGCCAGACACCGACGAGGAGACCGCACCCAGCTGCCCAGAGCAAGCGGTTCGGGGGTCGGCTAAGAAACTGCATCATGAACTGAAAGACCGCATGACACAGGGGATGGGCACTTCTTTCCTGTGAGTATAGTTTCTGAGAAAACCCAGAGCATCTAGGCACCCAGAAGCCTCAGAACAGGCAGGCAAATAGAGCACAGTTTTCAAATGGGGGGACTGGTAGATTCTGGAAAGGACAAGGCAATAAACCTGATGTCTGTCATCTATAAAATAGCCCAGATCAGGGCCTGAGTAGTGTGGGGTGTGGTGGTAGATCAGGAAGAGACTGGGGCTACGTTACTCAGCATAGAACCACACGGTGGGAAAGGGATTTTTTTCATGTGTGCCATGGAGAGAGTCTCAATTTGGGTCTAGGACAGCTTCAGCATTCTCTCTCTAATACTTCAACTCCCTTTTAGGAGAGACAGAGAGAGAGAGAGGGAGGGAGGGAGGGAGAGAGAGAGAGAGACAGAGAGAGACAGAGAGACAGAGAGAGAGAGAGAGACAGAGAGAGAGACAGAGAGAGAGAGAGAGAGAGAGAGACAGAGAGAGAGAGAGACAGAGAGAGAGAGAGACAGAGAGAGAGAGAGAGATCGAGAGAGATCAAGAGAGAGCGAGAGTGCACACATGAGCAAGCAGGCCTCAGGTTCAAAGCCTGGAAGGCAAGGGTACTTATGTAGAATTTAATAACATTGTTCTGTGGTCTTTGTATTTTTACACATACCTTCTATTTATGGCAACTGATACTGGACTTCCATTTAAGATATATCTTTCAAAGGAAATTTATTAAAGCAAAAAAAAAGGTGAGTCAATTTAAAGAAAAATAATAAATACTACTACAGTAAAATAAATACAGCATAGTCTTGGCAATAACTGTTAAAGTGGCACCCAAACTACTACTTCTGCTAGCTAACATTTATATAGTATTTACTGTGTGCCAAGCAGTTTCCAAGAAGGCAAGCTTTATGAACTCACTCAACCCCCTCCACAATCCCACGAGATAGGTGTTATTATTATTATTCCATTTTACGGAGAGGTTCTGTAGCTTTCCTAAGTCACACAGGTAGGAGCAGATAGAGCTAGGATCTGAATTCAGGAAGCACGGCCCTCGAGTCTGACTTCTCACCCACTACACCACAGAAGAAGACGGCTGCAGGCACTCCCGAGAGAGAGAGAGAGAGGACAGGACTGTGAGCCAGCCAGGGTTCCCTAAGTTCCAAAAAGGTCCCAGGGACTACATTTCCAATTCGAAACAAGATTAGAAAATTATAAAAAATAGGCAAAAACAAGACTTGTAGACAAGATGGGGAAATGCCGTAGACCCGCTGCCTTGTGATTTCAGCAAAGCCTCTGACAGCCTCTCACGGTACGCAGGCAGACAAGATGGAGAAACGGTGGGGGCTGCGAGTGGAGCTGGGAGAATTAACAGCTGCTCCCCAAAGAGCACCCCAGTGCCTCTGTCTCACAGCACTCTAGAAGGAGGTTCCTACTGCCTCTCCAGGGCCTTTACGTTTTTTAACAGGGACTTATGTGGAGAAGAGATTCTGATCAAAACTGTGAGTGAAAAGAGCTAGGAGTGACAGTCAACAAAGAATGACAGAAGGAAAGCCCAAACGCCCCAAAGAGCACTCGGGAGGCCAGATCCGATGGCTGAATCCAGCCAGCGATGAAAATGATGACGACGATGACACACACACACACACAAAACAATAGCTAACATTTGCCAGACGCCTGCAACAGGTAGCTCTCTAAGCTTTTTATACGTATTGTCCCAGTCTTCACAAACCCTCCAAGGTGGGCACTATTATCATCTTTTTTTTTTTTTTTTTTTTTTTTGCTGAGGAAGATTAGCCCTGAGCTAACATCTGTGCCCATCTTCCTCTATTTTGTATATGGGACACTGCCACAGCATGGCTTGATGAGCGGCGTGTAGGTCTGTGCCTGGGATCCGAACCCGTGAACCCCAGGCCACGAAAGCAGAGCGTGCGAATTTAACCACTACACCACCAGGCTGGCCCCCTAAGAATTCTTATTTTGCCATTTCAGGTGAGAGGGTAGACTGATCTCCTCAAACGTACTATCCACTCCAATCCTGCATATTCTGATTTTCAGCAGTGGATCACTTTGGCATTCTGAACTACATACTGAGGAGAGGCCTGGGAGGCAGTGTCACACTGATCATTCAAAGCAGGTAGTTCCAAATTAATTCATATTTGATCTTGGAATGTGTTTCTGAATAAACGTTTCATAATGAAGATATCCAGATGTATGCAAAAGTCAGAGAATTCACGATACATGTATTCCTTGCACGTTGACTTCTGTTACACAATCAGTGATCTGTTCCTATGGAAAACGCACACCCTGCTAAGCACAGTACGGTGTCCATCAGTCTCCTAATTAAGCCCCTATTACCTCTTTTTCCATTGGGTTTTGCTGCAACACAAGCAGAGGCTGACAGAAGATATAATTTCTCCCACTTTTTATGGCCACCGTGAACCTGGCACCCACACTGCTCTTCTCAGGACCAGTACTTGTCTTGGGTGGGTGAGGCCACAGTAGTTCTGGGGCAGGTGAGATGAGGTAAGGGGAACTGCCTTCTCTCTTGTGATGGATCTGGGCCAGGAGTGGGAGGGCCGTCTGATCACTCTTTAGCTCAGGGAAGGCCAGGGAGTGAGCAGGTGGAGTGCCGAGCTTCCTGTCATTGGAGGTGTCCATCAGTAGCTCCATACAGGAGATTTACGGGTCAGGTAGGGGCTGGACTGGGCAACACTCAAGACCCTTTCCAGCTCTGCAATTCATGTTCCACAGAGCACAAACTGGAAATTTTCAATTTCAATTCACTCCAATTTCCACATTTGAATTGGACATCAGGCCACTTACCCGCCCTCGCTCTGTGAGGGTTGTCAACATGACGACGAGTGATAACTTCTGATCCCAGATGACTTGCCAGAATTGTGCACAGGTATGTGGCAGGGGTCCCTGAGTGGCAATGTACTTGTTCACAAGGTTAGCAGAAGGAATTTCCATCTGCAAGAGATTGTTAAGGCATTAGAATCTGTCACTGCTGCAAGGTGGACAGGGAACTGGATCTTAAACTCTTCCTGCTGGTAACTGACATCACACCAGGATAATATCTCTCTTAATTTATGGCCAATAAAAAAATAATCCAAGAAAAAGCTATTTTTAAAAATCCTGGAAAGATATTCGACAATAACACTAGCGCCTTAGACATTTAAGATAAAACTGTATGACACTCAGCAGGCAATAATCAGAAAGGTAGCTACAAGATGGTGGAAGAGTTTAAATGACCCTCATTGCTGTATCCTAAATATAATCAGTATCAGGCATCTGCATTTTCAGCAACACATACCAACCCTCACGCCCACATCTTCTGCTACGCAGGGTTTTCTGTCAAAATCTACTTATTTTCTTTGAAGCATAAATCACACAGGCTTATAGCATCAACTGTTGTTGCACTTTGCTCTCTGCGTGGCTGCCAATGCTTATGTCATTGAGTTGATCTCTTCCCCAGCTTTATGGAGGTATAGTTGACAAATAATAATTGTATATATTCAGGTGTACAACATGATGGTTTGATACGCATAAACATTGTGAAATGATTACCACAATCAAGTTAATGAACACATCCATCGCCTCACAGCGCTACCAAGTGAACTGATTCACGTTAACTGTTTTCAACTGTCCTCAGTGTTCCTCTCCCATCCTGCTCTACTTCCCTTCTGAACTGAGTTCTTTCTACAAGAGACACTCAGAACCTGCTGGGCTTTGGAGGGCCACAGCGATTCACTCATGCTGAGGTGGGGAGGAGGCACCTAATTCGTTTGGGGTAATGGCTTCCTCAACCCTGGTCTCAGCCCTCCCTCCCCCCACAACTCAGGGAGACTGGACTGCGTGGTCTTACTGTCCTCCACCATTTCTGACGTTCTGCTCTCAAGACACCAGGAATGCTGAAGTGAGGGTCAACGCATCCCACAGATGTTTTGGAATAAGTGGGATCACTGATCAGACCCATTTTTGTAAGGATAGCTCTTCATATTTCCTATAACTTGAGAAATCATCTGTTCATTTAAATCAGGCATTGGCAAACCATGGCCTGAGGGCCAAATCTGACTGCCGCTTTGCAAGCGAGGAGCGGTTTTTTATATTTTTACATGGTTGCATTTTAAGTGGTTATATAAGTACCTAAGTAATATCCTCAATTTTACCTCTCGGCTTGCAAAGACCAAGATATTTACTATCTGGCCCTCTACAGAAAAAGTGTGCGACCCCTGGTTTAGATTAAGAAACTGAGGTTCAGAGAGGCCAAGTAAGTTGCCCAAGATGCATTTTCAGAGTACAATGAATACTTTTCCCACAATATGTAAAATCTTTTACCTTTTCTTTTTGGTTTATAGGCACAGAGGTGGTTTTACTTTTCTTTTTAGGCAGGATATACAGTAATAACATGGGGGCAAAAACACAAAGTTACAAACATACCACTGGCAAAACAAAAACAAAAAAAACCCAAAACACCTAAATGTCAGCAGTTGAGGACAGAAGGCGTGTGGACGATGGGGTCAGAGACACGGAATCTGAGTTTTGGTCTCACCTTCTGTTAGCTTTGTGACTTTTCAAATTATTTACTCTCTCTGAACCTTAGTTTTGTCCTCTGTAAAATGAGACTATTCTGCCTTCCCTCAACGGCTGGTGGGGTGCTGAAACGAGCGAGCAAACAGGAAAGCACTTCGTCAACCGCAGAGCACCACACACGCCATTATCGTGCTTGTTACAGTGATTAACGTGCTCTTTCTCATTATCCAGGGTCCGAACTTACGTTCACATAACTCGCGTTAATATAATCTTCGCTTCCCTGCAATAATACCCGGGTGGTGTCATCTGTGGGGGAGAAAAGAATTCACCGATGATTCCAAGCGTTATTTTTATCGCACCAAGTAAACAAGAGTTCAGTTCCCAGCCCCATCTGCAGCTCTCGCCTCATTAGCATAAACACTATTCCCCAACTGTTCCGAGTCTGAAATGGCTGCAATAAAGACGATGGTGTTTACAGACACACTGAAAATCGTTCCAGAATACCAGACAATCTGTTTTAAAAAGGGAAACATTATCTCAGTGTGTGTCGGGGGGGAGGCACTCGCGCCGGATACTCACAAGGCAGCACATCTTTATATCGGTTTTTGTCCAAATTTTGAGGCAGCTTTGCAAATGTGATGGCCAACCCGGGCTTCTTTCTGTAGAGTTGCTATATGACAAACGGAGAAGGAAAAAACCATTGCAAATAACAGCTATGAAGGGAGTGTGAAAACACACTTTACCGCTAAGGTTTACCACGCATGGCACCAAAATCTTAACATTTAAAAGTGATTATATGTTATATATCAAAAGAAAAATCTTCCCAACAAGAAAGTCTACAATCCATGGGCCACTGACTAAAATCTTCAGTATTTTTTTTTTTTTTTTAACTTGAGGATCTCTGGGGAAAAAAGTCATAGGAAGGGGTCTGAGTCACAGATAATGGATCACAGTAAGTAAAACTTCATCTTTATGCCAATTACTTGACAAATGGTAAAATCAAGTAATGGGGGAAAAAAAAAGAATCCGGACTCAAAATTACCTGGAAATCATTTACATTAGTCTAAAAACATTTCCCTCCAATTCAACAGAGTGAAACCACATTCTATGCTTAAGAACAAGAGCGTTTCACTCATCATTTCAGAAGTATATTTCCACAGTAAAAACATTTATCCCAATACATAGTAAACTTCATTTAAAGAGGTACTTCCCTGTATACACAATCACTAGCAAAAGACCCAATTAAAACAATCTTTGCACATGTACAAGCACATCTTAGACACATTTGTATGGTACTTGATGTGATTTTGATAACAGCTCTGTGAGAGGTATTAACAGGATCCTTATTTTGCAAGTGAGAGGCAGAGATTAAATGCTTTGTTCAAGATCACAAACTAGAAGCTGACCTCAGATCTAAATCCAATGCCTGAGTTTTCTTTTTCTTGGAAACCCTTTATTGAGGCATGATTGACACGTAAAAAGCGGTACACATTTAATATATACAACTTGAGTTTGGAGTCAGTATACACCAGTGAAACCACCACCACCCTTGAGGCCACGGACACATCCAATCCCCTCCCAAGGCTGCCTCCTGCCTCGAGTTTTCTTTTCTATACAACTGTTCCCTCCACTTTGAACTAGAGTGAAATACTATTCACCAGTGGTTTTAATCAACTTCATGGGAATCTAAAAACACTTTTTTTCAATGTTGGAAGTGATCTATATATATATTTTTTTTTTTGCAGAAAATTTGGGAAATTCAGACTAGTATAAAAAAATTACCAATAATTTCACAACCCTGAGATGACCCTTTTTACATATTTTCTCCAGCTTATTTTTTTCTGTGGATACACGTATAGAAATATACATAAGTATATATGTAAACATATATAATACATAGACACACTACATTTTTAAAAACAAAAAATGAGATTAACTACATATTAGCACTTCCCATACTATGTTCTACAGAACCCAAGTGTTCTGAAAGCTCATAGGTATTCCTTAGAAAAAGTTTCAAGGTCAAAGAAATTTAGGAAATACTACAAGCCATCTTATGTTCTATGGATTTCCAAAACAAGCCCTACAGCGCATAAGCCTATTGAACTCTGATTAGCTAAGCATTTCTCAAGCTCATTTGGCCATGGAGGATCGCACATCTCATAAGAAGTGCTCTGGGAAATACTACATAATTTTGAAGCCTTTTTTCCCCTACTTATTATATAGTGTCTAGTTTCCTGTGTTATTAAATATTCTAAATATTCTTTATACATATGATTTTTACTGGCTCAACAATCTATAGTTTTTCATAACTTATTTTTACTTGTATTCTACTATTTGATTAGGCTATTTTCATTTTTTTTACTCATACATTCCCAGGAACAGAATTACTGCATCATGCATATTTTTAAGGGCTTTGATACATATAACCAAGTTGCCCTACAGGGATGTATGAGAATGGTTAGTTCACCAAATTGTGCCAACACCATCAACTAAAATGTGTTTGCAATTTGAATAGGGAGGCTGAACATTATTTTCTCCCCTATATGTTTGCAAATGGTATTTGTTTTGTAAACTGGCCTCTGTTGGTCTGTTCTTCTCTTATTAGTTCTTTCACTAAACAAATTGCACAGAAATTACCAGGAGAGAATCAGCACAGAGATTTCTGGTGACGATAATTGCATCATGTCTTATACATCCAAATGTTTAGAATTTCCAATCTCTGCCCAAACTCAGCTACTGATCATCTCTACAGTTTCAGTTCATAAAAATCAAGTAGCCACTGAATAACTTCTTAAATATCTGCGAGCTTTAATGGACTCTCTGAGTTCATTCTAGACATAAATTCATGGCCCTGTAGCTCAGGGGTTAGAGCACTGGTCTTGCAGAAATAAATTCATGATTTATTGGAGGTTTTGATTTGATCCTAGAAGGAGGAGAATATCTGAGTCAAATTCCCCTAAATGACATTTTGGTTCCAACTGACTAACTACATTGAGGTAAAATCCAATTAAGTGAATATAATCAGTAAAGCTAACCTGGAGGTAAAAAGATTATTCTTTCAAATAAAAATGTAAATGTAATCAACTTGAGATGGTCTAGCAGAAAAGCACAGATCTAGCAAAGGCTTTAATTATAATCAGTACATAAATGTATCTCAGCAGTAACAATCCGTTGATAGGATTGGAAAGTACTGAAATAAAATAAAAAATAAAGGACTATAGCAAGTGTTTAAAATTTTTTAAATGTGTACATCCTAGGCTTATCTGACAGAAACACAAAAAGATACATATTTAAAAAATTTATCTGTAGCAAAATCTTTTTTATTAGCAGAAAACTGGAAACAGCCTGAATATTACCCAACAGGGAGAAGTGTTGACTTAAATTATGGTACAGTCATACCACAAAATTATATGCAAGAATAAGACAGACTAAAGGTACAGATTTGGAAGGATGCCCATTCATCTATTTTTAAACGAAAAATGCAAGTTACAGATTATTATATATAGTGGTGATCCCATTTCAATACATAGCAGCATACACACAATGTGTGTATAATGTATAGGTGTGCGCACTTATGTATATGTGTGTGTATAAAGCACATTTGTATGAGCATTGGAACAAGTATAAAAGGATACACACCAAATTGTAATTTGTAAATTATGACAAAAAGAAAGAAGCTATAGGAGATGGGGGTCATGAGACTATTAATCTTGCTTTCACTATTGCTGAATTAGTTGAATTACTACAATGCAAATTATTTCTTAAATTCAAATGACTGAAGTGAGAAAAAGAATTGCACCAAAAGAAATCTATGTGTAAAATTAAAAAATAAAAAATTTTACAAAGAGCTGGGTGAAAAAAGCTAAGATTTTTTTGGGCCTTTAGAAGGTTTGACAACACTCATATTTATGTCTGCCTTGCCAAGGCCAACACCAAATCCTATTTCCAAGGAATTGCTTCAGTCCTATTCACACCCAGTTTCTGAAGGTGTTAAGAGCTGTTTTTCAAGTTCCTTTAATTTACTGACTCTTCTCCAGACCTGGTGAGCTGCTTGGCAGGCTGGGCATGAAAACACTGCGCTGAGAAGGGTGGTCCAGGGTGGAAAGTGATGTGTTAGAAACACAGGTATGTCTTCCTGGAAGGGTCAGGGATGGAGGGAAATGAGTTCAACACTATTATATTAGCCAGAATTCGAGATAACGCTCTTTCAAGAACTACTCTGGAATAACACAATTTGATTCGGTTATTCCTGGACTGAAGATATGTGAGTTGGGCAAGAGCTCCCAGTCACAGATCCCTTAAATTCTGCCCTAGAATGAGAGCAATCAGGAGGCTAGAGACAGTCACAGGGACAGAGGGTCATAAGACCACTTACTTTTATTAAAAACTATTAATTTTTATGTCCTAAAGTGCTTTGTTCTCATCTTGTCAGAGTGCAGTTCTAAGAAGCTGTGAAAATAAGGTAAATTATAAAAAGATTGCTGGAGAGGTTGCTATGGAACAACTGTATTTAAATTGCAGTGTCAGTATCACCAGCTCTGGCCTCCAAAGACAGAAAATTGAACAGCGGGAGCTGGAGCTCTCTAGCACAGGGCGGGTAGGACCGGTAAGATGCCATGGTGTTCCAGTTTAAACATTTCTCCTTTGAAAAAGTCATCTAATATTAGAGAGAGGGCAACAGGAGATGATTCTGATCTCCTCAGACTTCTCACCCAACCAGAGATGTGAAATCTAATCAATCCCTTGGATGAGGGCTTCGGACACCCACTGGCTCCAAGCACTGGGTGCCGGCAAGGCCCCTAGCAGCAGAAGCAAGCACTCCATCAACTGTATGACCAGACGGAGGGGGAATTCTCACTGCAATTCCTAAAGGCTGAGAAGCCAAGAGGAGGAAAGAAAAAGGGAAAAGACAGAAAAAAAAAGGGGGAAGGGACTGAGGGGACAATGGGTAAGGAGAGAGCAAACAGTAGAAAGAGACTTCCTGTTGTGCCCTCAGCAATGACCCAGAGTCCACTGAAGGGCAATGACTTTTTTTTTTTTTTTTAATGAGTAAGATCAGCCCTGAGCTAACATCCATGCCAATCCTCCTCTTTTTTGCTGAGGAAGACTGGCCCTGAGCTAACATCCGTGCCCATCTTCCTCCACTTTATGTGAGATGCCGTCACAGCATGGCTTGACAAGCGGTGTGTCAGTGCGCGCCAGGGATCCGAACCCGGGCCGCCAGCAGAGGAGCGCACGCACTTAACCAATATGCCACGGGGCCGGCCCCAGGCAACGACTTTCAAAACAGCTGTTTACTGGTTGCTTCCCGGATCAAGCACTAAACGGTGGTCTTCACAAAGGCAGGTATCTTGTTTGTTTTACTCACCACCATAAACCCTAGGCCAGCATTGTGCCTGGCACATAGCAGGTGCTTAATAAAAATGTGTAGAGTGAAGGAATAATGGAATCTGCTGCTTTGAACAAAGGGTGCAAACTCCTTGAGTAAAGCATGACAAGAGGTGGCATGGAGTCACGTAATTAAGCTAAGGGTAACTCACTTCTCATGAAGGCCTCGAGAGGTTCTTTTCCTAGTACTGCTTTGTAGACATAATTCACTACTCATGGGCAGTTCGTCCACATGGGAAAGGAAAAGTTCCCCTTTCCCCTGTACCTGACCCAGCCAGA